TGTGTGTGTGTGTGTGTGTGTGTGTGTGTGTGTGTGTGTGTGTGTGTTGAGACAGGATCTCTCTGTATAAACCTAGTTGTCCTGGAACTCATTATGTAGACCAGGCTGGCCTCAAACTCACAGAGATTTGCCTTCTGCCTCCTGAGAATTGGGATTAAAGGTTATGTGCCTTCATATCCAGCTTCCAGCTTGACTTATATTTTTAAATAAAATATTGTTCTCTCAGAACATGGAAGCTATAGTCTTCTGTTTTAGAATAAAAGAAAGTTTTTAAAAATACTGTACATACATCATATAAATTGCTGAAAAGACATTGTCTACTCTCTACATAAGATTAGAATTCTTACTACTGTGGTGTTCAAAAGTACCCAGAAGCCCAAAGCTTGGAGTCCAGAGTAAGACTCTGTTGAGAGCCATCGGGTGTCCCAGGCCATCAAGCAGTTCTAAGAGAGAAGGGTCACTCACAAATAGAGTCCCCCTGCCCATCTCTGCTGTGGGGAATTAGCTTTGGTACTCCCAGACTTACTGACCCCTAACTAACTCTTCTAAATCCACATAATCCTCTGAAGATCAGCCCACGCACCCATCACTATCAGCTCGTCAAAGCCTGACAGCTTCCAGGGCTGGGCGGGAGGGAGGCTGGGAGGCTTGTGACTGATCCCCTGTTCGCTGTTCAGAATGATCTTCCAGGTCTGGTGTGGAGCATTCTGGCACGGCTGCCAGTCTGGGAGTCAGGGGGCTCTCTTCTTCTTTGCACATGGGGTCTGTCGTGGAGGAGGAAGGCTAAAGCCTACACCAACATTTGCTTTGTTCTCTTTGGATCTCTTCTGCTTTGCAGAGGTACCCCAGAGGGAACGCTAAACATGGCACCCGGGTAATGCGCCGGTTACAGAAACAGATGCTGGAGGATCAACTGCAGAGAACCTGAAGCCCATTCCCAGACAGCCTGGGCTGGAGGCTAGATCAACAGAGACAGACTTAATCCCTGTCCTCACAGAGACCTGCCCACTGGGTTTTAGCAAAAGCCACTGTGCTTTTCCTGTGTTCCTGGAGAATTTTGACAAAACAGCCCCGAGCCCTAGGAGGAAGAAGGAGGGCAGAAGGTCCCTCTACGAATGGGGACTTCAGAAGTCTGTTGAACTATGCCTCTGGAGGGACTGAGCAGGCTGCAGTGAGGAACAGGCCTTGTGAGGGAATCAAGACCAACCAGTCTCCAGAGTTGAAGGGAAAAAGAAGATCCACTGGATCTGATTCCTTCTCCACACAGAAATGAGCACTAGAAACAGTGTAAGACCCACCCATTTCAGACACAGCCGGGACATTCCAAGTGTACAACTCCCAGACTCCGGCCTAACCCTCTGCTCAGAGAATACAGTCCAGCAGAGGTGAGGTGTGAAGGTTTGTGAACCCTATGTAAGAGCTGTGGGAGACTCAGGGGAAACACATGCTCTGGTTAATTCCAAATGCCACTGCACGCACGCATATACACACGTGCACACAGCCGAGTGTACACGAACACATACAGACATGCAGACACCCAACAAGGAACAGTTCCGTTCTGGTATGAGTCCCTCCCACAATGAATCACGAGGACAAAAAAATGCCACAGGTCACTTAAGTATGGGTGTGTGCTGGGAGAGTGCACAGGGGCCAAAGTGTTGTGTTTCTCAAAGAACTTCCTGCCCAGCGTCTCAGCCAACTTCTCACCCCGAGCCCCAGCAATAATCTTATTAGGGTGCTCTCTGCCCAGATCCCCCAGCCTGGGTTTGCTAGTAACCTAGGGGTTGAAATCAGTAGATTTGACTCAAAGCAGGACTGGAGGAGAGAACAGAGATACCACCTCTTCCTGGTCTTTGAGAATTCAAGCCATTTAAAACCCGGGGCCGTTCTTCCTCCTGGGGTTTCAGGTTATGTGATGCTTCTGGAGGCTCTGTAACTATCACCCAGGGACAGGGGGACTGTGTGTCCAGGGATGGGTTTCTCTAAGGCAGAGTCGTGAGGAGGCTCTTCCTGTCACCTGTGGGATCATGGCTGTTCAAGGTTTCTGTGCTGGGAGGAGGAACACTGCTTCTGTCTCTAGGCCCAGTGGAGAGCCATGAAGGAGGGGCACAGTGTCCCCTAGCTGAAGGCCTAAGGAGAAAAGATCTGAAGGCAAAGGAACAATCAAAGCTAGTGACAATGAGCATCCCCGAATGGTATGACTAGCAGTGGTTGATGGCCACAGGCTTTCCCACCCAGCAGTGGCACCTACCAGCCTGGCTACAGACGCGCCACAGTGACACGGTCATCTTTAAATTTCAGGGCTCAGCCAGAGGCCTTATCCCTTGAGCCTCAGCATCCTTTTGATTATCCTCAAGGGCACTGATGTGCGCTCTGTGGGCAGCAAGGAACCATTCACCCTCATCCCGGATCGATGCAGGATGTTGCCTTCTCTTCCTCTCGATTGAGTAATGGTTCGTGACCTTCTGCAGCATTCGAGACCTTGCCAGAGCCTCTGGGAATCAGATTGATCCCATCTCTGACTTCTTGGAGCCAAAATCTTAGCAGGAAAGATAGACACTAAATAGCGCTATTGGAACACATACCACACCCTGAGGTGTGGGCCAGAGTTGGTCAGACGGACAAGGGAAGGGAAGGAAGAAGACACTGTGGGTTGAAGGATTGCAAGCACTGCACCCCCCGCCCCGCCACTGAGTTCCTACTGGGGACTGGGAGATCTGTGGAAGTATAAACTGGTATAATCTCTCAGGGGATAAAATGCTGTGGATAAAAAGACATGAAGGTGTGCCCTCTTTCACCCAGTGTTTTCATTCCTAGAAATGTATCCAAAAGACATAATTAAAAACACACGCAGAGGTATACGATGGGGGACATGGCCTAAACATCCCTCAGTAGGGTTGGGTGGATCCATCATAGAACATTTTGCAATAAAAGGCTATGTAGTTTCAAAAGTAAATACATACCATGGCTGTCCCTCTTGGTCTATGTCTCAAAGTCACACTGGCGACTTTGCACGAGAGGAGTCTATGAAGAGAAAAGGAGTGGAGACGCCTGGGTAGTTCTAGGGGGGACAGGGAGGTCAGGCAGAGGCTGGGCATGCAGAAGAGAAGGGAGACTCAGGTCCAAATGATTCTGACCTGGGGGAGGGGGTGGCGTGCTCTGGCCCTGGGACAGCTGGGGCCCTGGCACCGGCTCCAGGCTCCGGGTTTAAAGAGCTTTAAAAGCTTATTAAAAAGGTTCCTTAGACATCAAATGGCTCTTAAAAATCAATATTTTGATGATTTGAGTGCAAGGGAATCAGAAACATATGGATCAAATTGCCCTCAAATTATACACACTTTAAAAAATGTGTTGGTCTTTAGCGGGCTCCAAATATTTGAAAAACAGACAGGCACATTGTCCTCATCTCCAGACAGAGGTCACCTTGAAGAGTCCATGGGAGCTGGCAGGCTCGAGTGGGGAGAGGCTCCTCTAGGGAGCCTTCTGCATAGGTAGGACAGCAAGGAACAACCACACACACGGGCACCCAAAGAGGTTTGCTACAATGGCTCTGGTTTCCCCATAAGACAGGTAGGATCTCAGAGCAGAGTTCAAAACCACAGTTCTCATCTTAAATCCCCGTTCCACAGAAGCCCAAGGCAGGAAGAAGAACAAAGGTGTAGCTAGACTCTAAAGAAAAGCTGTCTCATGCATCAGCTTGGCTCCATTCAAACCCACCCTGCTTATGCATCCACTCCGTTCCTTTGTTCCTTTGCTTCGGGAGACGTGCAGAGTCCGTGAGGATTGGTAGTCAGTCTGGTGGTGATGCCAACAGGGGCCTTCAGACTTCATTTTGGACAAAGGGCTTCCGTCTTCCAGTTTGTGGAGACGGCAGTTGAGCCGGGAGTGGGGGCACTGTGCCCTTTGAACTCTGTCCCTGGAGCCCAGAAGAGGAGAGGAGGCACACCTGGAGGGCAAAACAGCTCCAAAGGAATAAATAGGGATCTGTTTCCTCCTGGGTAAGCTGCACAGAGGGAGAAGATGAGAAAGATGGTCCTGGAACGGAGGCATGAAGCTCAGCCAGTCCTGGATCTGTCCTTGGCTACCCCATATCCCAGCCTAGACCCACTTGTGGGCTGGAATTTGTCTTTCTCCTTGGACCTCTGAGCCCCCCATCGCCTTTCCATCAAAGAATATGCCGGGTTTGCATCAACATAGTGCCCACCTAATGCATTCCAGTCCCCCAAACGGCTGTCCCCCGGGCTCCACAGCTCCACTGCTGTCTCATTGGGTGGCCCTGTGTCTTATGCCTCAGGTGCCCCACTGTCATTCATAATTGGTGTGTGATGATTACACCTAGATGAATAGGCTCGTGGGTCAGGATCAAGGCTTGAGTCTCTCCACACTTCCCAGTCACTGTGCAGTCTGAGGATGGAAGCAAAGGGAAAGGCCATCAGAAACTGAGATGAGGGCATATCGGGCAAGGTCTCAAAGGGGACGTTGGCTGTCACAGGCCTGTGGGGACAGAACAGGTTACTAATAGGTGGCCACTGGCCTTAGGGGAGCCATTAGGAGATTCAAAGTAGATAAACAAGCTGTGTCTGCTCACTCTATAGATTCTTTACAGCCCTGCCCCCTGCACTTTCTTCAGGGAATTCTGGTGACAGACCTCACCACACCTGAATGGGATTAGGAGGGTCAGTAAAAGGTGGAGTGAGTGGGGCGGGCGGGGTGGGGTGTTCACTGGGATCTGGGTAGGATGCACTCACGAGGACATCTGGATGCTATCGGGTGCCTCAGAAAAGTGTTGCGAGCTAGTGAGTGATCCCTGAGGACTGTGGCTACTTTGTCTGCACAGACTCGTGTGTGGCATTAAAAAAAATGCGAGGAAAACAACAAGCAGGGACTTACAAGTGTCTCTTCAACACAATGAAAGGAAGGGGAGCAGGAAGTGGTCCCCGCCTCCAGTCGCTTCTCCTGTCACTTAGCGCTACCTCTGGAAACCCCAGCAAGGAAAGAAACAAGGGCCTGACACCCTGGAATGACAGCTCTGGAGAAAGAGCTACCTCTGTGTGCATGGCTACTTTCTTAGGGTGCTGGAGTCTGCTCCCAAGGACTCCCAGATGTGTCTCTGAGCCAAGGTCTCTGACCCTGCCTCTGCATTTCTGACCTCAAAGCCACACCACCACATACCAAACCAATCCATCCCCTCTGAAGTTTGGTGCAAACTCCCCACTTCTGACAGCAAGGACTAATGGCTTTCTCCCACAGCGACATGGTAGGGGAGTCTGGGGATCAGGCTAAGCTCAAATTTAGCAGGGGTGCATTCCTTGCCCCGCCCATTCCCTAACCCCCGATCCTCTCCTCTCCCCAGCACACGGATGTCTAGTTCTAGACTTCTCCAGAACCGTTACAATGGCATCCTTCTCCTCAGATCCACACCCTTGACATTCCATAAGATGCACAGACAAAGCTGACTGGTGACTCCTCCTCGTCTTCTGGATTTCTGTCTGCCATTGCCACTCAGTCAAACAGATCCTAATTGTAGGATCTGTCCTTGACATTGACCTTGTCCTCATCCCTCCACCCCCAAGCCAACGCATCATAAGCCTCCCTTAACGTCTCTAAAGGTCTGTCATATCTGTCCTCTTCTTCCCACGGTCCCTAACTATTTTTGTTTTTGTTTTTTGAGACAGAGTTTCTCTGTGTATCCTTGAATGTTCTGGATCTTACTCTGTGGACCAGGCTGAACTTGAACTCACAGATATCCTCCTGCCTCTGCCTCTGAGTGCTGGGATTAAAGGCACGTACCACCATGGCCTGGCTCACAGTCTCTGACTTTACTCAGCCTTTTCCCTTTCTTTCTTCTTTAACACTAGAAATGGAATCCAGGATCTCAAGCAAGTTAGGCAATTGCTCTACCCCGATCTAGTTCTTTAACTCTCTTTTTATTTTTGAAATTTATATGTAAATGTGTGTATGTGTACATGTTCAAGTGTGTATGATGGACGAAGATCAATAGGAAGTATTTTTTGCCAATCATTCTCTACCTTATTATTCATTTACTTATTTATTTTGGTCACAGGCTGTCACAGAACCTGGAGCTTCCTTATTTGACTTGACTGGCTGGCCAGAAAGCTCCAGGGATGGGATTGCCATGGCTGGCTTTTACGTGGGCGCCTGGGAGTTAAACTCAGGCATGCGGTCCTGAGCACTTTACCACAAAGCCGTCTTTGCCCTCACTTTTTATTTTTATTTTTTGATTCAGAATCTCACCTAAGTTGTTCAGACTGGCCTTGAGTTCACTCTGTATCCCAAATGGGTCTTGAACTTGTGATAGTCCTGGCGGAGCCCCCCAAGTAGCTGGAATTACAGACCTGTACAAGCCTAATTGACTTATGCCAGGTCCCATCTTCCTTCCCGCCAGCCTTTGCCGCTCTTTCCCACGGAGCAGGCTATCTAAAATACAAGGTTTCTCAGGCTTTCCCTCAAGGACCTGGCAGGTTCCCCATTGCCTACCCTGCGTATCCCTGATTTCTGAGGCAGCACATGGCTTCTCTGAACTGGTCCCATGCTTCTTCTAGTCTTCTCTCTGGCCTACCTCGCCCCACCTTCTGAGCCAGGCCCTGGAAACTCTTTGTTAGCCCAGGTATCTCCATTCTCACTATCTTCGTGCCTTTGTGTGTACTGTGCTCCGAGCCTGCACCCATCCTGGCCAGCCCCTCTCTGGGCCCAGGCCTGGGGGGTCCCTGACATCCCCAGCTCCCGGAGGATCACACTCTGCATCGGCCCTGAACATTTATCTACTGCCCTGCTTCTTTAACTTCCGCCTAAAGGGCTAGCTCTCTGTGAGGGCTTAGCGCCTGCCAATGTCCATCCCCCAAAGGAGGCAATAGCTGTGTCTAAGCCCCTGTCATCGGCCATGCTCTCAAAACTTCTTTTGAGGCCCCATTCAGTATAGTCCTTTGGCATGCCTTGTTTCCAGGCATCTGGCCCTTTGTACCACACAATCCAGTCGTGATTTTTTTGGTGGTTGTTCATTTGTTTATGGGGGGGGGGGGCGTGCATGCCACAGCATACGTGTGGCTGTCAGTCAGAGGACAGATTTGTGTAGTTTGATCTCTCCTCCACCTTCTCGTGCGTTCCAGAGATTGATCTCAGGTTGCCAGGGTGGCACGGCAATCTCCATTCCCTGATCAGTCATTTCCTGACCCTTTTTTTTTTTTTTTTTTTTTTTTTTAAATTAGGTTGTTGTGGGTAAAGTCAGGCTAGTCAGGCAGGCTTAGGGACTCTCTTTGTTCCTTATGACAATCAATGGAAAATACAGAGACCAGGGTTCCCAGCCAGTGAGCCCCTCAAGGGGTGAGCTTCAGACCTGGCACAAAGCAGAGCCTCCACATAGCTGTGGTAAGAGAACGGACAAAAATGTCCCCAAGGTCTCACTGCACATGGAGCCGGCTGGGCCCCTTCTGTAGTCTGGGTTTTCTTCAGCATCCCTCCCCAGCCTTCTCCCGCTCTGCTTGCTGGGGTTCGGAGCACTAACGCTGTCACTGGCCCAGTGGACGCTTTTTGGTGGGGCCGGGGGACACTGTGTGCGTGTGTGTGTGTGTGTGTGTAGGCACGAGGGGCTCTGAGGGGGTTGGAAACAAAGGTCCAGAGTGAGATCCAGGGCACAGCTGAACTGCCCTGAACTCGCCTTTTTTGTTTTCAAGGAAATGCATAATCCAAGAACCACCCACGGCCCTGGCGGTCCAGCTAAGCGGGGCTGGAATGCATTGCCTTTCCCGTTAGTAATTGTTTTTTCTAGTTAGCCTGTAACCCTTCCCCTGCCGCTCCCAGCTCCCAGCTGCCCAGCTGCTGGGGCCTAGCTCTGCCTCAGCCTTTCTCAAAGATCCATGGGGCGGGATGGACACCTAGGCCAACTTCCTGAGGCATCTCCAGTTCTGTCCCACTTGTGCAGATGGTGCCAGTGGGTTCAGGGACAAACTGTGGCCCTGCAGTTTTCTTCTCCTACTCAGACAAGCACTAGAGGGAACCTAGGCTGGAGAAATACAAAAGACAGGGTAGACCTGAGGGGCCCCAGGGTCTGCCTGTCTTCCAGCGGCTCCTCTGTGATTGTGGGTGGAGTCACTTTGAGCGAGTGGGAGAATAAAGGGCGGGAGCTTTCTTGTGTGTCTAAGCGTGTCCTTGGGCGCTGTGGCCATGTGCTGGTGCCAATGTGCCGGGAGGGACAGCCCTGCTCTGGGGTTACTTTAGACCCTCTCTGCCCACCTAGCCGTGCCAGCATCCCTTTGAGCCTTCACTCTAGGAGGAGGCAGCACCCTCTGCCCCATGTTTCTGCCCTCAGCGACTTCCACCTCACAAACACAAGGGCAGAGCTGGGTAGCTGTACATTTGCAATCCCGGAGGACAAGAAGTCAGGCGCTTAACCGATGCCCATCTCATCCCATCTCATCCTGTTCCAGCCCCAGTCAGTCCGTCTGATCCAAACTGGAGACCTCCTGCAGCATTCCTTAAGGTGGCTATCGCTCCAGGCAGGCCTCTGCTCAGGTGGAGGTGGGTGCAGGAGTAAGAAAGAGAACTGGGTGGCACTTGTGGTGCCCTCCGCCCCAGAACTCCCTGTAGCATGTACTACCCATGTCTCATCTTTGGTAGGCCTGGCCTCTGCCCAGGAGAGCTGCTAGAGGGGGACTTAGTGTTTTTCTCTCCAAAGGATGGGAAGGCCTGTCCCTTCCAAAAGAGATGCTTAGAACCATGATGGAGCTACAGACTTAGGAGGCTGGGAAATTGGAGCCTCTGCTGACAAAGACCATGTCTTGGGTTGGGTCTCAGGCCTTGGGGCCCACGCTGGCTAGTGCCCTTAGCAGCTGGCAAGACAGGCAGAGCCAGGACGGAGTCCAGCATGGCCACTGAACATTTGGTGTAAATCAAAGGCCTTTTCCCAGCCAGGATAGGAATGCTGCCGAGTGGGATTTGGGACCAGGCCTGGCAGGGCTAACACTGCCCTAATTGAGGCCCTTTTAGACTTTTAATTATAAGCAATATTTTCCCAAGCTTCCTAAATTGACCGTGGAGACCCGCTGGTGTTAGTGCCTGTGCCATGGACAGAAAGGGGCGGGGGGGGGGGGCGCGGGCATGGTCGTTAAAGTGTTCAGAGCAGGTTTATTTTAGTAAATTCTCTGAGGTGAGGTGGGAATACTCACACAAAGTAGAGACTGAAGTCATGTTTCTGGGAGGAATGGCCTGAGTTTAGAGGCAGATGCCTGCAGGCATGATCAGACACATGTGGGGGAACATGCACGTAGACAAACACCTGTAGAGAAACAGGCAGCACAGACAGTTGCATAAACACCAAGCTGGAAATCCCTCCCCGGCATCTGGAAGCTTCAGAAAGGAAAACACGGTCGGTGACTCCACCCACTCCTCACCTTCGCCCCCTCCCAGCCCTCTAGGCTTCTGCTGCCTTCCCAAGGCCTACTTACAGAGCCCAAACCCGTGTGCAGTCACCCCCAGCTGGGAGTTTCTGCTTGTGCTCCGGCCTCAGGGAGGCTCAACTGTCTGGGAAGGAATACCAAGCCTTTGTGGGGATGAGGAGTCAGCCTGCTACACCCCAGTTGAAATCTTGAGGCACCTTCCTGCTGACATAGCCACAGTAGTCTGAGAAGCACCCAGTCTGAATTACAGAGGCAGCACCCTGAGGTGTCTCTGGAAAGCAGGCCTCTTAGGGAGCAAGCTTCTCCAAGCACAGGGCTGCCTACCTTCCAGCAGGCCTCCCAGAGCAGGCTATGGGGATTCCACAGCCGGCCTGAGGTCTAGCCTGTCTTTACACTACTGCTTGCTTCCTTGTTCTCCCGCCACCCCGGGAGCCCTTGATGCCTTTAATGTCACATGGAACAGTCAATGCTGGACTCTGAAGGCCCCCCGCAGCTCAAAAGGGTAAACCCCTGATTCTTTCTCTGTTCCTGTCATTCGTATTCCATTGCCCATTCCACCCAGGAGGGACACAGAACCCCTTCCTAGTATCCATCAGTGAGTTCAGGAATGGTCACAAGTAGGGCCTCTCAGAGGGATGGGGACCAGACACAATCTTGCCTGCTTCAATATCCTGCCAAGAGTGTCCTGGGACCAGGACAGTGTGATTTGGGGAACCCAGTAGCCAGACCAAGACCTAGACAGAGCTGAGGCAGAAGGAACCTTGGTGCTTGGTGGCTGTTACAGGCCGTTGCTGTTGTCCTTATCTGGGGCTCCTTGTTCTTACACCACGTCCTCAACGGTCTCTGGAGTCAAGGGGCCCCGTTGTTCCCTCCCCAAACAGACCGTTATGGTTTCCGTTGTTTGAGGAGGGGGCTGGGGGGGCTGTCTGCTTAATTAATCATTTTGGGCCACCCTGGGAAACTCATTAAACCACCTCAGGCTGGAAGCCTGAACGCTGCCCTCGTAGTTAGATAGCACTTTCTAGGGTCCCTTTTTCTTTCCATTCAGACTCATGTGTAGGCAGGAGTGTGTGTGTATGTGTGTGAGTGTGAGAGTGTGTGTGTGTGTGTGTGTGTGGTGTGTGTGTGTGTGTAGTGTAGCAAGCACGCCCTTGTATCTACCATTCTCTGTGTGTTTTTGTTTCCTAGATTCTGCAAGCAACTTCCCCTGATTCTTCTTAATTACCAGTGGAGAAGAAATTCAAGATGCCTAGGGCAAAGGTCAAACTCCACCTGCTTTCCTTGCACTTTATTTTCTGGCAGTTCCCACAATAGTATAGATAAGTAAAAGATTAAGGCAATCTTTTCTAATTAAAGTAATTAAAAAACGGGGGGGGGGTGATTGCACCCTTTCATCTGAAAGGGAAAATATTTACTCATCTAACTGCAGGCCCTTAAAAGCATTCAGGAGGTCTATTTGGACAAACGGATGCTCCTCCTGCCCCCCACCAGCCTACTCTCCTCCTGTGTGCATGTACACACACACACACACACACACACACACACACACACACACATACACACAGAGAGAGACATGCACATGCATATGGACACACATAGAGGCGGGTTTATGGAGCTAGGGAACAATCTAACAGGGGCACCTTGAAAGCCAGGCAGGAAGGAGGTAGCCTAAGGACACTTGAGTCTGGAGCCCTGGGAACTTGGGTTTGACCTATGGTGGGGTTTTCCTTTGTGGTGTGTTTTTTGTTGTTGTTGTTTTTATAAAGCAGGGTCTCCTCAACACATCATCAAGGCTGGCCTGGCCTTGAACTCCTTATCCTCACTCCTCAGCCTCTGAAGCACCGAGACCTTAGGCTTGACTCTTGCTCTACCAGTGATGCTTCGCCATTGCTCTTTCTTCCTAGGGCAGTGGCCCAAAGTTCTTGGCCTGTCTGAATGCTGTAAGCTCTTCCCTCTCGCTTGCATTGGGTGGAGAGCTCACCAGGAAGTTGGTCAGTCCCCTTTCCATCCTCCCTGGCTATGGCCCGACAGACAATTCTTATATTGGCCTTTTGTACAAGTCCCTGTGCCTGACAAATAAACACTTGATCAGTGACAGAGGGTGTGTATATGGCACAGGCTTCCTGCAAAATGGGCAAAATTCTAGGAACAGTCCTCTGGTCCTACCCCCAAAACCAAGCATGTGGTATGTTTTCTTTTGAGTTTCTAGAGGTAAAATACTCACCCACTTTTCTGATGGGTGATTATTTTGCCTCTAGAAACTTGAATGGCAAGTTGAATGGCAAAGTTGAAACCTTTCCCTAGATAGAGCCTTCTCTAGTGAGCTGTGGCAGTAGAGACAAAGGCAACCTGCTCCAAGGGGAAGGGGCTTTGAGGAATGGGATGTGTGCCCAGGCGAGGTGTTAACACCCAGGCCAAGAGGCTGGAGTGCCCGGTGTCTTCTCCACACCTAATCTCCACTGCTAGGGGATGATTGAGAGCCAGGCAGGTCCTCAGAACATGGCAGGAAAGTTCCAAAAATACCCTAGCTCACTTGTTCCCTAACCGGGACCTGGCCAGCTCTGCCTGTCCCAGGGACAAGCTAAATAGCAATCTTAGCCTGATCCCGGGCTGCTACCTCTCTCAAAATCACCCACATAGAGCCAGCTTGGGTAGATCCATGTCTACAGTGGAGCACTCAGTTCAGGAAGGACTGGGCAAGGAAGGGGGCGGGTGTGGCGCTCCCCCTCTATTGTGAGCTCCTTGTCAACAGCCCTGTCTTTGGACTCTGAACTCTCATAAAGCCACCCTCAAACCCCCCCCCCCTCGCCTCCCTTGGCCTGCCTAGACTGGTTATGGCCTCCAGGATGACAGATCTCACTCTGTCCATTCTGCCATCTCTCTGCCTGATCACCAGCCATAGCTCCCCTGTCCCCCCCCCCAGGGAACTGATCCACCAGTGTACCAGAAACAGAGGCTCCTGAAACCTACCTCACATTGCACGCTTGAGTAGGGCATGACCTTACTCCCTGAAATGTCTTACAGGTCCCCAAGAACACAGACTTGTGTGCACAGGTGTCCACTACAAAAAAAAAGGCAAACACTTACAGGCTGCCCTGAAGCCCGTGCACACCTGAAGCCCGTGCACAGAGCCCAGGGGGAAGCTTTTATCTTCTACCGCAGTGCAATGCCTGGGTAACTCTGGCTTCCTTCCAAGGCCAATGTTATCGCTCTGCACTAGAGCCCTCTACTCCACTGCTGCCTCAGCCTGAAGTGTCAGGGTGCCAGCAGCACAGCCCTGGCCTCCTTCAGTTGAACTGCGGGAATTGTGTCTGACCCAACCTAGGCATGATTTGGTGATTAACTTACTCAATGGAAACTGTCCCTGGGGAACTGGAATCCTTGCTGCAAAAAATAAATTCTTCCTCTGGACCAGTTTTGCTAATCTTCCTTTATCTGCATTCTGCAATCACCCTCCTACGCGTGTGCACACACACACACACACACACACATACACACACACACATTCCCCCCTGCCGATTTCCTTCTAGCTTCCCAGTCAGCATTTATCTTTATTCTTTCCTCCCAAAGAGACCCAAACAAATCTGTTACACAAACTGTCAGGGCACTCTTAAAGAGATAGCTCATGGCTGTTGCAACTCAGGGCTGCCAAAGATGAGTGGGGAGACAGGAGACGGTTTAGGAGGTGGTCCAGGAGGTGGTTCATCACTTAGGAGTCAAAACAGTCCAGAAAATTGCCCTAGGATCTACCTGTCATTATCCATACCGCGTGGAAATGAGGGACCAGGAAGGAGCTACTGCTGGGGTCATGAGAGCAGAGCCCTCTGAGAGGGACTGGCTGTTCAGGTCGAACATCTAGACCATTGCTTCTTTTGTCCCTGAGATCAGAAAAAGATTTCTTCTTTAGTAGCACGACTTGTAAAATGTTTTCTCATATGTACCTCCTCTCCTGCCACCAGACCAAGTGAACACATGTACGAAATGATAGAGGATTTAAAAAAAGATAATCACGGTCCTAGCAGTCACACACCGTCTTCCCAGTTGGGAACTGTAGGGTCTGTGGACGTCACCTGTAGCTGTTCAGATGTGGCGGGTGTAGTGACTGAAATCACGGCACGTGCGTGCGTGCATGCGTGCGTGCGTGCGTGCGTGCGTGTGTGTGTGTGTGTGTGTGTGTGTGTGCGCCAAGTATGTGCACTCTTTATTCCCATCCAAGTCCTGGGTGGGAAACTGGCAGCTTATGGAGGGCAGGCTGGGTTCATTCTATCCCCAGTGAATGGGACAGGTGACAGGTCTTGAAGTCTTCAGGGGATCCTGCACAGGCTGCTTGCTAAGATCCTGCAGGCCATTGGCTGCTCCAGGACCAAGTAGTGAAGTCTGGGAGAGTTAACTGCTCCTGCTGCTTCCTTTGAGGGGGCAAAACCTCCTCTGCCCATTTCTGCACCAGCTTTCAAGTGTCCAAAGCTGTTATCCTGAGCCCCCAGTGAGCCAAATGACATTGAGCGCGGGTGGCTTTTCCCCTTTAAGAGACCGCAGAGCCTTTCTCACTCCCACTTAGAGCCAGGAAGGGAAAAAAAAATCTCCTGGTGGGCAGGATTATGTGTGTGATTACTCAGCTTTCCCAAAGAAGACCTGAAGGCTTGGGTCTAGAGTGAGTTTTTGTGTGAGCCTTCCCAGTGATTTGTGACAGATGTGTCGGCCATCCCAGTTCACCTCTTTCCTTCCCTCTTCTGCACCAGTGGCTTGCTACCACCTTCATTCAGGCCCCTGAGGATTCAGTTGTCAGAGAAGCCTGGGGTTCAAGTGGCTCTCCGATTTGGTGGGGAACGTAGCATGTCCTGGGCCCTGAATCTGCTTTGTCAAGTTCTTGTCATTCCATCACGAGCAGTTCTTGCAGCCATTGGAAGAATGACGAGAGGCTCTAGTAGGTTTTAGCAGGTCTGGCCCCTTCCTCAGTTTCCTGTAGTCTCTCTGTCTGTGCTAGACCCAGGACCCAGCTTCCTTGTGGCCCTTCGTTACCCGTGTCCGTCCTGCAGTTTCAGCTTAGATGCTACCCTGTACTTTGTAGTAAGCAAAGCCACAGAGCCCTGGCTGTTGTGCTGGGACAGTCTGAGAATGTCACTATGGATAGATCCAGGATTTGGCTTTCAGCTAGGAATTCCCAGCCGCCCTCCCGCACATACAAGTTCCCTGTGGAGAAGCCACATTCTCATAGCCGGCATCTTTGTAGGGGAACTTCTCCTTGGAGAAGTTGGTGGCAGGGAAATGAATCTGAAATAAATTATTCTTTCAGTAATGCCTGGGACCCTTACAGCCAGTATGATCTTCTTCTTAGACATTTGCCACCTCAAAAGTTCTCTAGGATCTGCTCGGATGGTCTGCATGGAGGGGAGATTCTGCCAGTTTAACCGTGTGGCAGGCACTGGGGACTGCCAGGCCAGGTTCTTCTGGACAGTTAGATCCCAGACCGTTTGCAGGAACCAGAAGCCTGAGCCCAGAGCAGCTTCCAGAATGCAACAGGCCCACAAGTTGAGTTCAGGCCGTCCGAAAACTCTGCTGGTGTTAGCTCCTTTGAAGACCACCACAGTTATCACAGGTACAGGATCTAAAGCTCATTAACTGTCAGAGCTGGGGCTGGGTATGCACAGGTATGTCAGAGCTTACCTAGTATGCACAAGGGCACGGGTTTAATTCCCAGCACTGCGAAACAAAGTACAAAGGCTGGACAGACATCTACACGTCTCCGAACAGTCAGCTGGAATCACCTGGAGAGCTCTGGCTTAGTCAGAATGGGGCTCGAGGACGTGAATTTCCAGTAAGTTCTCAGATGATGCTGATGCTGAAAGGCGTGTGTTTTGGGAAGTAAAGCTGGGGACCAGAGAGATTGCTCACCTGGTAAAGGCTAAGCTCACAACCAAAAAGAGAAAACGGTGGTCCTAGACTGTCTCTTCAAAGGTACAGAAACCAAGGCCTATGTGTATTGTGGAAAGGGGGAATAGTTTAGTTCAAGGGGGTCGCCCAGGAGTAGGTTATAGAACTGAAGGAAAAGGTCTCGCAGAACTTGGGTTGGTAAAGTTCTGCCTGCTGGCTGCCGTAGCTCGTTGGGCACCGTTTAGAGCCAGTCCTGACTTGGAAAAGCGGGTGTGTATCCCCAGCAGCAGTTGGTGCTAGAAATGGAAGTGGCATGCTTTGGCACATCCTGGCCTCCAGGTTGCAACTGTTTATTTGGACAATTAAGAACACAGCTTCAGCTGAACCACAAAATCAGATGGAAGCCTTTATCTTGGGTGGCACACTCTCAGTTTCCTCCTGTGCCTTGGCAGGGCTGGAGAGTGGGGCTGTGTTGGGCAGGGTGGGTCTGGGGGAAGGGCATAGCAGCTCTGATCTCCACTCTGGGAATGGCCCTAACCTTTTATGTTAGGGGCCCTAAAACATGTGGAGTCCCTGGAGGTGAGCGTGAGACTGCTTCTGAAATTGACTGTAAGATCAGTAATGTCTGGACCATCCTCCCTCCTTCAGAGATGTGTCTCAAGCCATCTTCCTTCCTGCCTCCAACCCAGATACGGCTAAACTCACACAGCCCAGCACCAAAGTCAACATCCCCAATACTAATTTCTCCTTCAATCCCTATCTGTATGGGCTTCCTGGGGCCTCCACCACATGGAGGAGTTCATGGGTAGATAAGGAATCTCTTTGCTTACAGTTCTTAAAGTTGAAGCGGCTCCCACAGCAAAAGGGGCCTGAGGCCCAGGATTTCAACTCCCTCTGAGGATTATGGTTGGTGTGTGGGGGGGAACCAAAGACAATAGCCTTCTGGCCACCCCACTCCCACAAACTCCCAATCAAAGCAAACAAAACAAACACCAGGGAGTTGGAAAGATCCATTCTGAGAGGTTATTTCTGTTGACTAAACATTGGCTCAGTCACTCCACCAATATGGGGGCCACAGGGACCTCTGAGAGAGGGGCCATGTGCTGTGAGGGAAATAAGAGAGTCTGGAAAGAGCTCCAAACAGAGCTGCACCATGAGGAAGGGCAGCGGTTAGCTGAGGGTAAGCCCACACTGGCCTCATGCTGAGTAGCCAGATGGACTCAGAAAAAGCAAAACTCAAGCATAGCCCTCCCCGGGTTCAGTCTCAACCCTACAGCTGTGAGCAGAGCTGGCCCACTCTGGTCTTAGTTGGTCAAGGTTAGCCACTTCATGGAGACTTAGTCTCCTGACTGTTACTGCGGGCTGGCCACTCTGCCTCCTCCCTTCTGGAACAGAACAGTACATGCAGGTTTCTCTATCACCCATAGGATGTGTTTCCAGAATTGTAGACCCCTTGGTTATGCACACACACACACACACACACACACACACACACACACACTGAAAGCTTTTCTCAGGGCAGAAGCCAAGTCTGCTGCCCATCACAAATTCCTTCCCCCGTGACCCACCTGTGGGGATGAGTGGTTTGGGCTTTAACCACTTTGGATAATGAGCCTTATTCTGGGAGTGTCAGAGAAGGAGGATGGGACCCTGGAACACAGTTGGGCACTTTTTATCTGCCTGAGAGGCTGCATTGGAATTCCACCTCCCATCTGCCTGAGGATGGGGCATGAGGGTTAAGGGCCTGGGAGGTGGGAGTTGTCTCCCTTGGGTAGTTTCTTCTCATGTTGCTCAGTGATCAGTGGTGATGGAAGATAAACCAGCAACGGAATGTAGGGTGGGAATACAGAAATCCTGTAACCCACCCCACCCCATCGGTTTCTCCTTCCCAGTTCCGTGTTCAATCTTTTGGTTTTTGTTCGTTTGTTTGTTCTGTTGTTGTTGTTGTTGTTTTGTTTTGTTTTTCAAGGCAGTGTTTCTCTGTAAAACAGTCCTGGCTGTCCTGGAACTCATTCTGTAGACCAGGCTGACCTCAAACTCACAGATTTCCACCTGCCTCTGACTCCTGAGTGCTGGAATTAAAGGTGTGAGCCACCATCATCTGATGTTCAATTTTAAAAGTAAGAAATAGCAACAAAGAAAATAATAACCGCAAATGACATGAGTTCCAGAGACAGAGATGGCACGTCGGGATGGCAGTGGGTACAGCCGAGGTAAATAAGTGTAGGCGGCCAGGGAGGTGAAAATCAAGC